ATGTTTGTTCCAGACGGATTGAATAATTCCAAATATTAGAATAGAGGACACAGTGTAATTTATATTTATATAAGTGATTGTGATAGCATAGAATCATTTAAACAATAGATTCAGTGTGTGAAGTGACTTTTTAAGTTACACAAACTTTCAAAAGTTTAAATTCACTGCTTTTAGTCATATTGGGCTCCAGATAAACGCGTAAAATTATTCTCTAATCTGCTCAGATGCTCAGGACACTATAAAATAAAATAAAGAAATTTTAAATGTGTCCAGAATGATGAACAGAGCTGTAGAAGTTTCTGTAGTGTGGGTCAAGAATCCTCAGTAAGATTGTCTCTGATTGGTCAGTGCAAAACATCAAGAATACAGTTCTAATAAAGTTTATATCCAGCATTTAAAATAAAACAAAAAAACTGACAAAAATCAGTGGAAATGGATCATATTTAATATAATGATTACATTGATAACAGTAATTGTTTTAAAACTTAAAACTTCACAGAATTTTTTAAAAATATTGAATAAACTATATAATACTAATTTTCAGTGAATAGTTTGTAATATTTAAATAAGTTATTGCATATAATAATGTCAATTTTTGATGGTTCTTCAAGATTTCAAGGTTTCTTCAGCAAAGAAAATTGTTCTATATAGAACCACCAACACTCAAAGAACCCTCTACATGATTAAATGCTTCTTCGCATAATGAAAGTGTTCTTCAGATTGATGGAGAATGTGCATGAACGTGCTATAGACAGTTCTGTGTAGAACCTTTTTGAAAGAGGTTCTATATAACACCCAAAATGTTCTTCTATTGTTACAAGCTTGACACTGTAACAATAGAAGAACCCTTTTGGGTGCTGTATAGAACCATTTTCCAAGAGGTTTTTTACAGAACCATCTACAGCATATTCTCTATCAGTCTGTGGAGCCATTTCATTATGCGAAGAACCATTTAATCATGCAGAGGGTTCTTTGAGTGTTGGTGGTTCTATATAGAACCATTTTCTTTACTGAAGAAACCTTGAAGAACCATCTTTTAAAGACTATAGTGAATGTTCATTTTTAACGTAGTGAAAACATTAATTAACACAGTAACGAAGGCCTGCTCGACTGAAACTCTAGCTACGTAAATAGCTGTGATTGGTCGAGAATCGTAAGATTGTCTCTGATTGGTCAGTGCTCTCACAGTGGTCACTCCAAAATTAGGAAGGCTTGAATGTGATAGAGGACAGATAGAACATCATTTCAGATGGAGTTTGTCTCTAATGAAGCTAATGGTCATGTAATCATGTTGTTCTATCATAGTCTTAGCTTAGCGACCAAAATGCCAGTGTTTTAACTAGAGATGAATGAGTTTGGGATTTCTGGGCTGATATGAATATCTAGTACTTTTCATTTTTCATGTACATTTCATAGATGTTGATGTGTACAGATTGGTAAAATAAAATCAGGACTGGATTAATCTGGATTAGGATTACAGAGAAGTGTAACACTGATCTGTACAGTGTTGGAAAACTAACCAGTGATTACAAAGACAGCACTGTATTATCTCTATTATTCTTTCTTCTTCTTCTTCTGCTAAGACAGTGAATATGACCTGACTCTATTTTAAACATTCTGTAGACGATTTCATTAGATGCTGTGTGTTTTTCATTTTAATAACTTGTATCCTTTTTAAAATATTTTATTTTAAATTTGTTAATTTTCCTGTAGACTCATATAATGACATCTTGAGACAGTTTGAATTGATGTTTTTTTTTAATTAATTTATTTATTTCCATTATTTATCATTTCTCTCCATATTTTTTAGATTATTTTCTAATTCTTTTTTTTCTTGCCTTATTTCATCCATTTCCTGTTTTTCTGCATTCCTATATTTATGTCTGTTATTTATTTTATTACTTTTTTTATTTTTATACTGTCTTTCTTTCCTCCCTTCCTTTCTTTCTATTTCTGGTTTATTTCATTTGAATTCTGTGACTCGTTTCTTGGAAATATTATTTCATGATATATATTTCTTGTCTTTCTTGCAAATCTAGTTAATTTAGTATAATAAAGTTTACCTGAAATCCTAGTTTAACAGCTGGTTACAAATGCAGTAAAATAAATAAACTACAGATGTTTTTGTGCAATAACTCAGCATCACCTGGATATTCTGCTATATTAATAGTCTGGAGTTAAATGAATGCATCATTAAATGTTGGTGTAAATTATCAGTGAAATCAATGTCTGTATTGGTCTGATACTGATTATATGTGTAAACAGTGATCTGCCAACACCAATATGATTCTGATACTATCGTGCATCTCCATATCTGACTGTAAAACGTGCTGAAACCTGGTGGCTAACATGATCGTGCTAACTACCAGCTTCTGTGCTCTGCTGGCCTCAGTCTGTTTTTAGCATTAGCGTTTTTTTTTGGCAGTTATGTCCGAATTTATTCTTTTCTGGCTCGTTTTCGCTCATGTTCACTATTTTACTACCTCCATTTCTCCATTTCCACTTTCTCTGCCATGCCTGGTTGTGCTCTCTCTCTCTCTCTCTCTCTCTCTCTCTCTCTCTCTTCTCTCTCTCTCTCTTTTGTCCTCCGTCTCTGTCGCTCTCTCTGTCGCTCTCTCTCTCTCGCTCTCTCTCTCTCTCTCTTTCTTTCTCTTTCTCTCTGTCAGTGATGAGTGTGCGACGTGCCATTCTGCTGTTTTGGAGAATGAGTATGGCCTTTGATCCGCGGAGGCTGAACGCATTGAAAGGGTTTTATTTCAGACAGTGAACGCTGCCGTGACGTCGCTGCCATGATGTTCGGTCAGAAGGGAAAAGGGCGAGTAAACGCGACGCTCAAACATCTGACATTTTAGTTCTCTGGGGAGGATGATTATTTGTGTTTTTCTTCACTAGTTAAACAGTGTTCAAGAGTGTTTAACTGTGTTGACTGTTTAGAGTCATTATTGTTTTGCAATGCCATTTAGGTGTAATTACATAATAACTACACAGTTAGTTACATAATATGTTACATATACATTCAGTTTGTATTCTATATGGACAGGTTCCAGTCTTCACTTTGTTTGTTTTGATGTAAAGTTTGAAAATGATAATCATGATAAAATATCCCCTCTTCTACTTATAGACACTAATGCGATATGGATAGAAAGTTCACAATCTGCACTTTCCACACAGTTTCTCAGTTGTTTCACTGAACTGCGAGTGATCGTGGAAAATATGATAATTATCGGCAGTGTGTGGAAAAAAAAAAACCCTGGTATTTGGTGGGTCCCTTGTTGTCTGGCTGTTAACTCACTCACCATAGCGGCGCTGATGCTTCAGTGGCAACAAAATGTTTGTTTTATCAGCTCTTCTTCTGTAAAGTCTCTGTTCTAATTTGGTGATGCACTCTTCCTCACATTAACTGAGATCTTACTCATCTCCTCTTCTGTCTTCAGTGTGAGAAATGAAGAACAGTCACTCTTTACACCAAACTCCTGGGAAACTGGGCGAGTTTTCAGGTTTACAGATCTTCTGCAACACGTTATAAAGTTTTTCAGAAGAATCCGGACAGAGTTACAGTTTCTAGACTATGAAGGACCAACAGGGTCAGCCAGTCTGCTACAGCGCCACCCTGAGGCAGAGCAGTGCTGCAGCTCTAGTTAGTTAAGAACACCAAAGACAGAAGCTGGTGAAACAATGAGCTTCACTGAATTTGCATTTTTTCACTAACAGCATAATGTCATAATTTTCAGCAACCCCCTGATTTGATTTTGAGACATTTATGTGGTCTAAGAGGTTAATTAGGGGGTCCTGAATCCCCCAGCACCCCCTGTATTTCGCACCTTGTTTCTTGGTATCCTGTTTGTCACAATATGCTTGTCACAATGTTGTGAATATTGTCAGTATATAAAGCTGCACTATGTAAGATTTTTTGTTAGATGAGGAGAAAAACAGGCTAAAATATGGTGAGCATGCACTGCTATGAGTCGCCCTGTAAAACTTAAAATAATAATAAATATTATTTATATATACTTATATATTTATAAAATAAAAGTCAGAGGCGTTGGGTTGGGAGTTTTTCTCAGCATGTCGTACGTCTTTACATATTAACGTCACACACAGACTCAAAAAGAAGATCCGGCTCGATGTTTAGGCCTCAAATGATCTCAAAATCAACATTATACTGATAAATATATGATGACAATAGTAGATGATTCACTCACATCCTCAGAAGACGTGTCCTTCACCGAGTTTAGACTGAGTTCTCTTTGAATTCTCTTTCAATCATCAGATGTATCCACTCGGGGAGGGGGGCGAAGCACAACCCACACTACTGAATGTCCGTGTATTGCATGCAGGTGCAGTTCCAGATTTCCACCAGAGAGGCCTCCAAATCCCCGAAACTTAGAGTGAAGCTTTAAAAAACACCATCTGCAGGTTTTATTTAAAAGAGAGCAAAAATACACCCGTTTAATTGGATTTAGTGTGTAAGTGTTAAGAAATAATTGCGTTCATAGGTTTATAGCAGTGTTTTATGTGACACTTCATCTGTTTCAACTTCTCAGACCTCAAAATAATGAATTAAGATGTGTATCGTGAAAATCTTGAAGTATTGTGAGATTTTTCATATCGTATCTAATTCATATAAAATTACAGCTGCTTTTGTTTTCCAAAAGGTCAATCTGAATGTTCTAATTACCCATATTTCAAAGTTTGGGTGACCCCTCTTGGAAGTCCTCACTGGAAAAGCAAAACAGAATCTATCAATAGGCTTAAAAATAGCTACAGGGACAAACTCGCCAATCACACAGAAGCAGCAGTGTTTCTTGGCATCGGTTCAAGATGAGGCTCGGATGCCTGAGAGCAGACACGCCGGAGCAGACAAGCGGCCGCTTCCTCGCTCTCTCCTCCGTTACTTTGGGCATGTTAATGCGGACGCTCTCTCCAGGTACCCCTGCCGCTCGTCCTCCGCCGTCCTAACGCCCTCGTTATTCCTTAATTACGTGCTTTTATGTTTTTGTTTTTGCTCGTGGCGTTTACGTAAGCGAGTGTGGAAACAAAACAAAAGCAGCTGGCTTGTTCGGGTATGATTAATTTATCACGCAGCCTGTTTGTTTTTGTTTTTTTTCCCCTGCTCTTTTCAGAAGGAGGTGAACGACAGTAGAGCTGAGAGGAGAGTTTCACAGAGTCTGTACAAAAAGAGTACAGAAAGCGGCTGAGGCAGAGAATCGCAGACAGAAGCCTCGTTCTCTTGGCTGCGTTTCAGCTCCAATAAAATGGCGTCCCGTTTCGAGAGAGAGAGAGGCTGGCAGACAGACGACGGCTCGCCCGTGCCACCAGGGTGCTCTTTCCATTCACATCTCCAGATTGTGTCTCTGTTTCTCTCCTTTTTTTGCCCTCTTTCGCTGATTGGAACACTTAGCTGAAAATGTCAGGCATTAACAGCAGTTCCGCTGATCATACAAATGAAAAGAAAAAGGAAAAACCTTGAGATGTTAAGTTATTCAAGCGCTGAAACAATGCCAAGGCTGCTCTAAAGGCATTTCAGCCTTTGCCAAAACAGCTCAGATGAAGGACATTTGAGCTTTTTTGCGGAACAGCAGCACGGCTTTACGGTTTAACCCAAACAGCGGCAGGCTGCTTAGTCCACGGGGAAATCTTAATTTTTGGTTTTTTTTTTTGCTTCCTTTTAATAAGCCATTTGATGCCAGAGCCAAAAACAACAACTCTGATTTTATTTCAGGAAGGTGTGGGAAAGTAATCTGTCCTCTCTTGGTATGACCAGATTAAAAGCAAAATCCGTCAAATTTTTGAATATTATGCTTAGTACAGTGATTACTGCTCCATTCTAGAGAAATTGTTCACAGTGGTGGTAATAGAAAGCAGACGTCCTCTAAGACCTCTAAAAGCTCCCTTACAGAAAGTTATTACATGAAATGAATACAGTGCCTGATGTCTGAGATGCTGTTTTATGATAGTTTTGAGATGATTTTGGCCTTAAACTCCATTCATGTTGGAGGAATACATAACTTGAAGGGTGCTGTGTGGCAAAATAGTCCCCTCTAAAAAAGGATCATTTCAGATTTTCCTATCATTCCATATAAAACTCAGAAGACACTGGTAGGTTCACTGGTGGTTTTGGATAGTAAATAAAATGTCTGTATTTGTGTTGTAGTCATCAGTTTTAGATACAGATCACATTCCTATAAAACCTAATGATATTTGAATTATAATAAATTAACATAAATCAAGCTGAATTATGCACTCTTAAAAGGATGGTTCTTCAAGGGTTCTTTAGTAAAGAACATTGTTCTATATAGAACCCTGAACACTCAAAGAACTGTTTGCATGAAATGGTTTCTCAGATGTACCTTCAGGTGATGGAGAATGTGTTGTATATGGTTCTATACAGCACCAAAAAGGATTCTGCTATTGTGACTGTTCAAAAAGGTTCTATATAGAACCGTACAGCACATTTTCCATCAGTCTAAAGGACCATTTCACCATGCACAGAACCCTTTAATCATGCATCTATATACCACCCAAAGGGGTTCTTCTATCGTATACAAACTTGACATTTGTAACAATAGCAGAACCCTTTTTGGTGCTATTGAGAACCATTTTCAAAAACAACACATTCTCTGTCAATCTGAAGAACCATTTTACCATGCAAGGAACCATTTAAGGCATGCAGGTGGTTCTTTGAGTGTTCATGGTTCTATATCAAACCATTTTCCTTACTAAACCCTTGAAGAACTGTCTTGTTTAAGAGTGTAGTTATTGCACATACTTGCTTCGTAATGGGTGTCCAAAGTCCGGCCCCAGGGCCAAATCCAGTCCACGGACAGATTATAACTGGCCCCCGGCTTCTGTTTTACAGTGTATGATAAGTGGCCTGCCAGCCAGTATGTTGCAGTTCTTCCTTTGACCAGATGGTGGCAGCAGTATTGTGAAGTTACAGTGTATCGTGCCACACTGTGGTAACGCAGTTAGCTAAAGTTTAAGAGCCGTTCTTCTCTGATTAGACCTGCAGTTTCATTAACTGAACAACATTTGGTCAAGACTACAGACATAAAACACAAACTAAACCCTGAGAACTGGCGATTTTGGTGGGATGGAAAACTTCTTATGGGAGCAAATTCAGTAGTTCAGTGAATACCCGTAAATATCTGTAAATATTAAGTAAACACTTGAATAGGAATGTTAGTAATACATTAGACATGTTGTATTGTTACTTTTAATCAAATTAATTATTTATTATAAGCGCTTATCAATCCAAACTGTTCTGAATGAACAATGAACAATAAAGGAAGTCTCCTGCATCATTTAGACAGTGATAGGAAACACGGCAGCTCACAAAAAGCTCAGATTCTATGCGCTGATATTTTGAAAACTTATTTTGAAAATCATTTGTGAATAATAGTCTGGCCCTCAGGTATTTTGACATGGCACGATCTGGCTCTCTTTGAAAAAAGTTTGGACACCCCTGCTATAGACTAACGAACCGTTTTATACCAAATTTACTGCATGTAGCTCTTCAGTTCTGCCCTTCAGACTGAAGCATTTTCTGTAATAAAAGGCTTGTTATTTGAAGCTGAGAGGTGTTTAATAGTGTTTACTTTTGTACATTGCAGTCCCTAACAACGAGACTAAACTCACAATTCTCTACTAAAGACTCAGGACTCGCATGAAGCGACTTGTAAATATCTCTGGTGGGGTCAATATGGCATCTATTGTTTCTTATTGCACCATAAAAGTTAGCTCCTGCTCAGCTCCTCTGCCGTGTGGAGCCAGGGCTGCCAGTCAGCCGGTGCCATTGTATGTAATGTGTTGTGATTGCTGTCCTTATCTGCTGCTTCCTCCTGGACTTGCTCAGGAAATGCCTCTTTCACGAGTGAAAGTTGATATCGTCTTCAAGTCTGAATGGGGAATTCTGGAGCTTCTGAATGAGTTCAAGTGATGTGTGGTTTCTTGATGTATTTGCTGGATTACTGTCAAGGATCTTTTCACCAATATAGCTCGGGGTTTTCTGTTATCCAGCTTTTCCCTTCAATTTCAGCTCTGAAATGTTTATATATTACTGCCTTGCATGGAGCAAGGACCTTGCTTGCTTTCTTCATAACCCTTTTTTTCTTTTCATCTCGACTCCTCTGCTGGCATGGCTTTTTTAGATGTGACAGTGAAGATTTTAGATGCTTCCTTCAAAAACCACGGTTAATCGCTGTATACATTTGTGGTTCCTCGAAAAAGACTCTGTGGGATGCGGTTGGGGTGAAAATCGCCTACACCAGTTTAAACTGGACTGACCGCTGCACAGCTTTGCCTCTCTGTCTAAAGGCTCGCTGTGTGATGTAGACTAGCTCGTGTGGCGTCGGCTGAAATGCATTGGGCCCTGACGGCTCTGGGAGATAAGGGTGCCTGGGGAGAGCAGATAAGTACACCGAAAAGAAAATTGCATTCTGAGGGACTGGGCACCAGCGCAGTTTATGCGGGACCTTACGGCTCACGTCTGTCATAAACAGATGCATTCTGTTTGACAGCTTGTCCACAGCACATTGTGCCACTGATTGATGGTTACATTCATTGGCTGAATTGAGAGACTTAATGGAAATGAAGCCCGAAGGTAAGAGAGAGACATTACAGTCTGCTGAGAGTTTCAGAATTCAGGCTTTATTTTTACTAGCCTAGCGCTAAGCATCAGTACATTTCAATGTACACAATCAAGACAATGTGTGTGGTCATTCTGCCACTGCTTAATCGTTGTATTCATTGTCTGAATTGAGAAACTGATTGTAATATATCTTGGAAGGAAAGTAAGAGACATTACTGTCGGCTTAGAGTTACAAAATTCAAGCTCCAGTTTTATTAGACCAGTGCTAATCATCAATACATTTCAATATGCATAATTAAAACAATGTATGTGGTCATTCTAAAGCTGCTTAATCGTTGTATTCATTGTCTGAATCGAAAAACTGAATGTAAATGTAGCCTGAAAGTACAGATACATTTCAGTCTGCTGGGCATTTCGCAATTCAGGCTTCTTGTTGTTGTTTTATTAGCTTAGTGCTAGGTATCAATACATTGTAATGCACACGATAAATACACTGTGTGCTTCCACTGAACCATCGATTGATGGTTATGTTCATTGTCTGAAATTAGAAACTTATAGAAATGAAGCCAGAAGGAAAGTAAGCGACATTACTGTCGGCTGAGAGTTTCAAAATTCAGGCTTGTATTTTGTTAGTTGAGCGCCAAACATCAGCACATTTTGATGTACACAGTCAAAACAACGCGTGCTTCCCATGTTCAATGTTGGAATTGAGAAAGTGAAAAAAAAAATGAAGCCCAAAGGTAAGACAGAGACGTTACACTCTGCTTTGGTTTTCTTAATTCAGGCTTATTGTTATTTTTCAGGTCAATGCTAAGTGTCATTGAGAGTGGCACATACAATCAATACAGTGACAGTTTGCTAACTCAAGTATAACAGCGGGTAGTCCTTTTGTGGCCTGAATATAAATCCTGGACAGTCTTGTGCCTTTTTGGGACGGAGAGCAACATATTCCAAGCTTGAGGGAAGTGCTCTTAGTAGGACTGGTTGAAGGACTGGTTGCATTTGCATTGCAAGATCAATGTCCTCTACCCTCTGTTCACCATCATTTACACGCCATCGATTACCTGCTGCCTCTTGATTGATTATAGCTGGGGAGAAGGTAAAGCGCTCTCTGCTTTGCATTCATGTGCTTGGCTGAAAGAGGGGGAGGTGTGCATGTTTATGAGCCACACAGCAGCCCCTGGTGATCCCCGGTAGTGATGCAGTCGTAGTTTTGTGGGGACCTGGCGGGGCGTGGGAAATGATGGATGAGGGGCTAGTCTTGGTTTCATTCCAATAAATGAACCCCGTTCCACCTCAGCTTCTCTTCAGCATTGCAGCAAGAGGCGATATGGAAAGGGAGACTGATGGTGCTTCTTTTTCACACATTTCTGCTTCCAGAAGATGTGGAATACATGTTTTAACTAATATGACTAGTGCCGTGCTCTACTGAGCATTGCAATATTCTGGAAAACTAAAAACTATGCATGTATGAAAAATACTCACTGTGGGAGGGGAGTCGTAGATTATTGCCAGTCAGATTTCTGGAAGTGTTTTTTCTTTCTACATATTTTTGTGCATACCTCGAATGCCCACATGGTTATGCTAATCATGTTGTTGCTTCTTTTTGTCTTTGCAGTGCTGCCTCATCAGAGTGGTCAGGGAGCCCAGCATGAGAATTCCCACTGGGGTGTCCCAACCACCAACAGCAGCAGCAGCACCTGTTGGGATCGAGTGATTATTGACGAAAAAGACACTGAAGCTTGGCCTTCTATTCAACAAAGCAACAACCAGCAGTCGTTAGAATGTACCTTGGATGCTGACTCGTCAGAGGTTGTCAGTAGTAGCATGAGTATGGCTACAGGAGCTAGCCAACACAGTCACTACCCCATTAGCAAAGCCAGTATTAATCACCCCTCAAGTATGGTCTCCAGTCAGGGTGGACCCAACAGAGGATGGGGCTCTGAGGGTAAGACTGATTTGTCCCTAGGCAGCAGGAGCCAGTCCAGTTGGGGTTCTTCTAATCTAAATTTGAACCCCAATGCTAACCCTGCTGCATGGCCCGTACTTGGACATGAAGCCCCAGGAGTGGGGTCAGGGCCGAGTGGTATGGGTGGCTCAAGTTCAATCCCGTCCACCATGTGTGGCCCAGGAGGTGTTGCGCCAGTTCATGGCACCAATGGAAATGGCAATGTTGGATGTGCCAATGGAAACCTTGTAGGAGACTGTGCTTGGGGGAACCCAGACACCCCAGACCAGCACCAGTCTCCAACAAACATTTTGGAGACTCCTAACCTTAAAACTGATGGACCAAACACTAAAGCAGAGCCAATGAGCCCTGTGAACAGCTGGAGAGGAACCCTAAGTCAGTCTCCCACTGATCAAGCCACTGGAGACGGAACTGCTCTTTGGGGCAACGGAGATGCCAAGGGTGGAGAATCAAAAGACTCAGCCTGGGATTCTGGTGGTGTCTCCTCCTGGGGTCGTGGAGGAGGAAGTTCAGGCTGGGGTGAATGGAACAAGCAGTCAAGCACTGAAGGTACAGGGTGGGATGCCAACAATGGACCTTCTCAGGAGCCAATGAGTTCCTGGGGCACTGATGCTCCAGCCAGTGAAGGTAGCAGAGACAGCAGCGAGGGACACTCGCAAAGAAGAGAAAGGTCCTCTAGTGTGGAGTTTCCACTTCTGCCGAGACAGGACCTAGACCCTCGTGTGCTCTGCAACTCTGGCTGGGGACAAACCCCAGTTTGCCAGCACACGGTGTGGGAAATGGAAGAAAATTCTGACATCAAGGATGATGGTGGCACTGAAGCCTGGAGTTCTTCCTCTAAAGCACCTTCAACTGGATCTGCACCTCCTCCTCCAGGATGTGTCAATCCTAACCTAAATGCACCACCTAGGATGGACTCTGGGAGCAAGAATGCCCCGGAACCTTCTCGAGGTATGTCAACCCCAGGCTGGGGAGGGTCAGTCCCTCCCACCAGTCAGCCCAGTACTGGATGGGGGGACCCACCTGCTAATAAGAAGGTGCCCAATGGATCAGTTGGTAGTTGGGGTGAGCCAATGCCAGATGGCCCCAGCACCAATGGCTCTAGTGGCCAATCATGGGGCTCAGAAGAAAAGTCCCCCAGCTGGGAAGATGGTCCTGCACAAGCCAAATCACAAGGTTGGGGAGATGGTCCCAGTGCTTCTTCAGGCTGGGGAAGTAGTGGAAGTGGAAACGGTGGAGAGTGGGGAGAGCCTTCAGAGAGGAGAAACAATGGCTCTGGTAGCTCCTCTTGGGATGGAGATGGAGGGAACTGGAAGGAGCCTCAGAAGGGATGGAGCAAAGCAGCTCCAGCATCAGCTGGAGGCTGGGGAGACTCCCAACGCCCAAATGGTCATGTGCAGGGTTGGGGTGGCAAACCTCAAGAATCCTCTAGTGGCAGCACTGGAAGCATGGGTTCCTGGGGCGGCCCAAACTCTGTGAAGCAGGGCGGCTCTGGCTGGGGCTCTGCAGGAAGGCAGGATGCAGGAGAGGAGGCTACAGGCTGGGAAGAGCCTTCCCCTTCTTCGATCCGCCGCAAAATGGAGATTGATGATGGAACCTCCACCTGGGGAGATCCCAATGCGTACAGAACATGCGTCAACATGTGGGACAGGAATAATCCTGCTTCCCATCCAGGCAACAGCAACAATGGCAGCAGCAACAACAACCATACAGGGCCTAGTAACAACAATCACCACCCTCACCACAACCAGGGTCCAGCTCAGAACCACTCCAATGGCAACAACAATGGTTCACCAAACCAACCGGGACCTCCACACAACAGGCTGCCCATGGTGAACCCAGGTAAGAGAAGTGAGTTTTTGTTCCTTTGCTCATTTTTTATTTTATAATATTGTAAGACTTTTTATAACTTTGCACATCAGTTGTACAACTCATGTCAGGCTGTGTAGTACATTTGTTCTCTCCCCTGTGTGATGTACATTGTAGTTAACATTAAGACCATCTTTCCTTAAATATTATCTCATGGTATACTTGTAGTGGGCAGTATGGACAACAATTAATGCATACACATATGCATACATAAATCTGTCAGGGGAAAAACCTTGTATCTCCAAAGAGGTAACTTTGGAGAAAGAAAAAACAGTTTTAACTTTGAATGGAACGTTTTCAAAGGCATTTTGGAGCATTTCTATTGGTCTGTTCCTCATGAAATTTTGTTACCATGTAACGGACAAAAATGGAGATACAGGGTTGTACATACATTGTACATCCCTATATGCAAAAGTCAAATTACATGATTTAGCATGATTTTCTAAGTGTAAATAAATCAACACATCCTCTACAGAGAAAACACTTGACACATTTTAATGCACACTTACTAGTTGTTTGCTGGTTTTAATATATTGGGGAAACAAACAACTAAAATGTAAAATGTGGCCTGTTCAAAAGTTATAGCACATTTAATATGCTTTCAAAGTGGTACATTTAGAAATTGTGCTCTAAAATTTAGAGAGGAAAGCCATGTTTACTGTGAATCTGTTTTTGTAGTGGCTTAATTTTCTGTGATGTCACATTTTAACAAGTAAATCTGAAATATTTTTACTAAAACAGTAAAAGCAAAATTGAACAGTATGTAGATAAACCTGTACTATTGCTCTCTAACAACAGCTCCACCAAATGCTTAACATCTGGATACCTACTGATATCTAAGTTGGCTTCTTATTCTTTTTGTTCAAATTTTCTGTTTTCCGCTTTAAACGGAGCAGCATTTACATTCTGGCTCCTGTACAGGCAGCTGAATGTAACTGCTGTACCATTTGACAAGTGCTTATTTGCGGCATAGCGGGATAACAGTTATGACAAAACACATACCTGAGGGTTTACTGCCCTCTGCTAATATATACACTGGGAGTCTGGAAGAGAGTTCTCCTGTGGTATTGTGATCCAAGAGCAGCAACATGGCTTGCAAACACTTGAGCCATCAGGCATACGTAATAAAGTCTGTAAATTTAGTTGAGAATCCACTTTCGTTAATAATGAAGTTGGTCCGTTGAGAGGACGGATCTTGAAAAACCTCCCTAAATATTGAACTCCTCATTAATAAACAGGGCGAATTACGAGGGAGCGGGCAGGCTTACATATTGGAGTAAAAAAGCGCCATCTGCTGGTTGTCACTGTGAGGGATCACTAGCAGAGTGAAGGCATGCGATCTGCTGCCAGCTGGCCTGCGGCCTGCAGTTAAAAAGACATGGCCGCCTTGTGCTTGGCTTGACAGAGTCGGGCCCTCAGGCCCTGCTGTCGGCCCCATGAAAGCTTTTCTATTTCTGTTCTTGGCAGCGCTCAGGCACAATGGCAGACAGAGACGTTTGCTGTCTGAATTTTTCTGTCCTGCTGAGAACAAGCTCTGTGCTCGCCGACATTTCTCAGATACTCTTTTACTCCCCCTCTCCGGATCCATTTGTCACGTTGTCAGATAGCAGGGAAGAGAGAAACCTGTGGTCTTTTCGCAGTTATTTACATTTATTTAGAGTGGGCCAGAGATGCTGAGCCTGGCTTGTCATTTAAAGTGCAGAGGTCAAACCTAATGTGACTTATACTGGAAAAGACACATAAGTGTTGTGTAAATCGAGCCCTGCTGACCCACTTGCATTGACGTTACACGTAAACCTGCTGTTATTCAAACCTGTCATCGCTCCAGTTCCAGCCAGATGTCATTGAATCTACATTGCAGTACAAGAAAAAGTAACACTTTGATGCATTCTAGTGGCGCTGTGTGAATTGGAAAGCAAAACACTGTCTGAAATTGCATAGCTGACCTGAAAACTCATCTGCAGAATATAAGGAGTGCTTGGCTTGGGTCCCTTATGGAAATGAGGCATGGCACTTTTTTAAAAATTATAATCTAACAGTGCCAAGTAATCATCTTTGGTATGCTGACTTTGCATAAAACATTGAAAAGTAGAAAAGATGAGGAAATCCAATCCACAATTTTTAGGATATATTTCCATTATTTAACAGAAAGGAAGGGTAACTGGGCAAACTCACAGTCAGGAGACTTTGACACTTTATTTCGCCAAGTATGAAACACATGCAGAATCTGTCTCGTTTGTGACATCAGATCTTCTCGAGATAATAACATAGTGACTAAGAGAAAAATGAAATGAAAATAGAATAAACAGAACAAAGAACAAGAGCAGAAACTTAAGAGCCAGTTTGAAAAGAGCTAAACAGTTGAAAATGTGAATATGTACATATGTGCAGCGTCTGGGGGAACATATAGTATAATATAATGTAATAACTATTGCATACAGTGTATTACTGTTAGAATGATATGGAAATTAGCAATGACTATTACGACGCTTCCTTTTTATAATTTTGGGACATAAATCCTGCAGATTTCTCCTTTTTTGTAGTATTTTTAACAAGATTTTAAACAAGTTCCTCTGTTTGCAGGCTGGGGCGAGCTGCCCAATGTGCAGACCAAGTCAGAGTCTTCATCCTGGGGGGAGCCTCCCTCCTCCAGCACCACGGTGGATAATGGCACCGCTGCCTGGGGGAAACCGCCCAGAGGATCCGGAGGCTGGGGAGAGAGCTGCCACGAGTCTGCCGGACACTTCGGCAGGGCCAGTGCACCCTCCGGCTCAGGGCCCTGCAAACCAGGTGAGACTGGGTGATGTTTCCATAGCAGCACCTTTTACATTAATCTCTGTTAATGGAACTTAAAACAGAAAGGTTTTCTTGTTGATGTCTATTTTCTTTTTTAGTATTTGGTCATATAGTTGCTGTTGTAATCTTTGAATTGGCAACTTTATAGAGGAATATGTAGAAGGAATATTGTTATTTTGAAAAAGAGAAAACTGAAAAGTGCAATATTTTGTTATTAGAGCGATATTTTCCTGACTGTTTCTGGGTATTTTTCCAAACTCCCTCCATATATTTGAAGGGTTGAACCATAATGACACCTGGTGGTTGGACAGTGCCTCTGCATTATGTTCTCGTGCACTCTGTAAAATCATTTTAAAAATCAATGCTTTTCTTTTCCAGCCCCCAAATCTATGCAAGACAGCTGGGGGTCAGGAGGGGAGGAAATGGGCATGAGCAGCAGCCAATGGGACGCTGAGGACGGCGACATGTGGACCAGTCCCACCTCCCAGGACAGCAGCTCTTCCTGTAGTTCCTGGAACCAGTCCAAGAAGGGTCTACAGAAGGTACCAGAGGCCATCTGTAGCCATTGATTACGTCCTGTCGTGTGACACGATGAGTTTTTTAATGTCAAATTAGGTTAATTAACCCCTTAAACACTACAGATCTGATTAAGGGTCCACATTTTGTTTGCCCCCTCTCATAACTACAGGTAGTTTTATAGCAGATACTAAACAATTCAAAATAGATGTTTAATTCATTGTAGATACTAAATAAGCAGTTAGTAGTGTACACTCTTAAAAAGATGGTTCTTCAGTGGTTCCTTAAAGAACCATCTGCATGCTTAAATGGTTCTTTGCATGGTGAAATGGTTCTTCAAATTGATATTAATTGTATATAGAACCTTTTTGAAAAGGGTTCTATGTAGCACCAAAATGGGTTCTTCTATTGTTACACACTTAAAAAGGATGATTCTTGAGGGGTTCTTTAGTAAAGAAAATGGTTCTGGATAGAACTGTGAACACCCAAAAGAACCTTTTGCATGAATAAAGGTTTCCTTGCATCATGAAAGTGTTCTTCAGATTGATGGAGAATGTGCTGTAGATGGTTCTGTGTAGAACCTTTTTGAAAAGAGTTTTATATAGCACCAAAAAGGGTTCTTCTCTTGTAACCAGCTTGGCATCGTAACAATAGAAGCAGCCTTTCTGGTGCTATATAGAACCCTTTTCAAAAAAACAACACATTCTCCATCCATCTAAAGAACCATTTCACCATGCAAAGAACAATTTTTAAGCATGCACATGGTTCTTCGAGTGTTCATGGCTCTGTGTAGAACCATTGGCGGTACTAAAGAGTATTTACTGAATAATACTAATAAGTCTAAGGATTATTAACTGAATAATAAGCTGTCAGTTAAAAATGATGTTTACAGTGATAGTGTTTTGAACATTTAAGTGAATTTTATGTGATTTCATTTTGCAGTCTCATTGCTTATGCTGGTTTTCTTTTGTCTGTTCATCTGTTCCAGGCGAAAGTGTCCACCAAACAGGATGAAGTCTGGATCATGAATCGACTTATCAAACAGCTCACAGACATGGGCTTCCCTGTAAGCTATTTATATCTGAGCGATAAACAACGCTGTTTACGTCTCTCTCATACCGAGCACAAAATTCCTGTAATCTGCAGCTCTGCGGTGCAGGAGGCCAAGCTGAATAACAGTGCTGGATGATAATATGTATGTGTGGTTGGATACTAATGTGTGTGTGTGTGTGTGTTTCTTGTGTGTTTCAGAGGGACCCTGCAGAGGAGGCACTGAGAAGCAACAACATGAATCTGGACCAGGCTATGAGTGAGTCATTCTCCTTTATGTACACGCATGCATTCTTAGATCCGCAGTGGCTGATTTTTGCCCTCCGTCTCCAGGCGCTCTGCTGGAGAAGAAAAGCGAAGGGGACAAGCGGGGGATGGGAATGGCCGATTACAGCAGCGGCATGAACAAGCCCCTGGTGTGCCGTCCTCCGAGCCTGTCCAAAGACTCCTCACTGGACCGAGCCCCCTTCCTGGACAAGGTACTGGAACGATCTCTTTAGCATTAACGCATTTGCTCAAAATTCCTGCATCATTAACTGGTTAAGATGTAAACAGAGTCATTCAGAGTGGTTTGATGTGAAATGCTCTGTTCTAGAGAAACTTACCGAGTCAGAATTGTTCACAGTAGGGGTGATAGGAACCAGACGTCCACCTCTAAAAGCTCCCTCACAGAAAGTTATTACATATAATGTTTACGAATACACTGACTGATGTCTACGATAGTTTTGAGAAGATTTTGGCCTTAAACTCCATTCATGGTGGAGGGACACATGCAGGGTGTTGTGAGGCAAAATAGTTATTTCAGATTTATCACTATTTTCCCATCATCAACATTCCATATAAACCTCAGAAGACACATGTAGGTTCACTGGTGGTTTTGGATAGTAAATAAAATGGCTATAGTCATACAGTGTCAAAAACCAAAAGGTGGTTTATTATGTTTATAAGGACGGCGGGTTGTCGGACGACACACCATCCTCACCGTTTCTGCCTTCTCCCGGACTCAAGCTCCCGCTGACCAATAGCAGCCTTCCCAGCCACGGACTGGGCGGGGTCTCCCCAGGACTGGCCATGCAAAACTTGAACAACAGACAGGTGAGTGGCCCAAACACAGCATAATAAACAAACCATACAAAAAGCTCCCAAGAGTATTTATTTTAACTGTAATAATCTGTATGTGGGTCCACACTTCAAGTCCTCACTCTTAGAATAACAAAACTTCCAAATAAGTTTTATAGTAGTTACTGGATAAATTATGGTATTTAAGTAATTCGTAATAGTGAATGTCATATTAGATACTGAATAAGAGTACGTACTGAATAATTCATGGTAGTTACGTAATAATATGTAGTAGTTACTGAATACTTCATAATGGATACTGAATAATTCATAGTAGATGCTGAATAATTCATAGTCAATACATAATATACAGTAGTTACTGAGTTATTCATAGTAGATACTGAATAATTCATTGTAGATACTGAATAGTTCATAGTAGATACTGAGTAATTCACAGTAGATACTGAATAATTCATAGTATGTACTGAATGGTTCTTCATAGATACTGAATAGTTCATTGTAGGTGTGGAATAGCTCATAGAAGATACTGAGTAATTCATAGTAGATAATGAATAATTCATAGTAGATGCTAAATAATTCAGAGTATGTACTGAATAATTCATAGTAGCTACTGAATAATTCATAGTAGTTACTGAATAATTCATTGTAGATACTGAATAGTTCATAGTAGATGCTGAAAAGTTCATAGTAGATACTAAATGATTCATAGTAGTTACTGGATAATAAGTCTTACGGTTAATAAATGAATGATAAGCCTGCAGTTTAAGGTTGTTCAGGCTGTTAAGTTAAAGAATAAATTTGTCAGTATTATACAGAAACTTCGGTCGGTATGAATTCCCTCCCTCACTGTGTTGCCAGCTGTGTCGCTAGTATTTCCTCTCATGTCTGGAGTGGTCCATTAATAAGTGTTGAGCGATGTTATTCTGTTCTCTTCACTGGGTCGTCTTTCCTCTCCGCACTGAGTGCCACTCCAACAGGAGTTATTGAAACAGTATCTGGAATGAGCTGGCGTTCCTGCACAGTGACAGTGGCCTTTTGTGTGTCTATTTTTGCCTTTTTAAATTCAATATTAGCTCCTGAAACATAAAAAATGTAGAGTGATGACCTTAAATGAGCATATTTTCCATTCAGCTACTGAAATATTTTTCTCATAAAAAATGAAGCTCGTATTGAAATGGAACTTTTGTTTGAATAATCATGTGAATTCTTTCTGAGCAGCATGAAGTCGGTTACATATATCTGATCTCTTCAGCTGGTTTTTCACTCTCATAACTGTGGAACTTGCATATCAGTTTCATAGTAGAGACTAAATAACAATATTGCAGTTTAAAAACATTTTAACTTTAGGCTGTAAATTGCATTTTGCTGTATTTAGTAATTGTGTATTTTTCTCTTTCAGATGAATGGAATGTTTGGCAGTAACGGAGCAGCACAAGCTCGGGCTCTGCAGCAGCAGGCTCCGCCCCCTCAGCCGTCAGTGCCGCCTCTTAGCTCCGCCCAGCCTAATCTACGCGCTCAAGTGCCTCAGTTTCTCTCCCCTCAGGTGTGTACTTACTCCCTACCCCAAACATTCTGTACCCCGATATTTTATCGCAAGCATTCTGTCCCCAATATTTTACTCCAAACATACTCTACCGCAATATTTTACTCCAAACATACTCTACCCCAATATTTTACTCCAAACATACTCTACCCCAATATTTTACCCCAAACATACTCTACCCCAATATTTTAACCCAAACATACTCTACCCCAATATTTTACTCCAAACATACTCTACCCCAATATTTTACTCCAAACATACTCTACCCCAATATTTTACCCTAAACATACCCTACCCCTGTATTTTACCCCAAACGTACTGTACCCTAATATTTTATTCCAAACATACTCTACCCCAGTATTTTACCCCAAACATATTCTACCCCATATTGTACCCAAACACACTCTACCCCAGTGTTTTACCCCAAACGTACTGTACCCCAATACTTTACCCCAAACATGCTCTACCCCAATATTTGACCCCAAACATCCTTTACCCCGTATTGTACCCAGGAATATTCTACCCCAATATTTTACTCCAAACATACTGTTCCCCAACTTTTTACCCCAAACTTTCGGCACCTCCAACATTTTTACCCCAATATTTTACACTATATTGTACCTCCAACAGTTTACCCCAAACATACTATACCCCAATAGGTTCCCCCACCATTTTACTCCAAACCTAAACAAGCCCCAGCATTTTACCCAAATATTTAATTGCAAACGTAATGTACCCAAACATTTTTCCCCAGATATCCTATATACTGATATTCTACCCCCACATACTTTTGGCCAGTTTTGATCCCCAACATTTTATTCTAGATGTACTGTACCCTTGGCGACCCAGATAGATAAGTGGTTTAGAAAATGTGTGCGTGTGTGTGTATATACTGTACCCTGACATTTTATCTCAACATTTTTCCTAGTACATACTGTACCAACAATTTACCCCAAACACACATTTTTCCATGGGACTTCACACAGAACATGTGTTGCATTTTGAGAATTTTTTTTTGAACAAATTTGCTTTTTCTTTTTTTAGGTTCAAGCACAGCTCTTGCAGTTTGCAGCAAAAAACATTGGTCTGAACCCTGCACTTTTAACCTCACCAATAAATCCTCAACAAATGACCCTGCTGTACCAGCTCCAACAGCTACAGATGGTAAGAGAGGAAGGAATGGCGGGAGGAATGGCGGGAGGACAGGAGGGAGGAATGGAGGAGGGCTGGTGTGATGAATGGTGGGAGGAATGGAGAGGGGAATGGTAGAAGGAATGGAGGGAGAAATGGCAAGATCAAAGGAGGGGGGAATAGAGGGATGAATTGCAGGAGGAATAGAGGGATCAAGGCTGTAGTCCTGTTGCTTCTGTACCTCAGGTTTTTATGAAAACTGGTGTTTGTTAACTTACTGTAGTGAGGCTATGAAAGAGACTGCATTCCACCTCTCATTCTTTGTCTTACCCTCAATCTGTCATTTCCTCTTCTTTCTTCTCTTTCTCACTTTCTTGCTCTCTCTCTCTTTCTCTCTCTCTCTCTCTCTCTCACACTCTCTCTCTCTCTCTCAGGCGTACCAGCGTTTGCAGATTCAGCAGCAGATGATGCAGGCTCAGCGAAATGTGTCTGGTCCCATCAGACAACAGGAGCAGCAAGTGAGAAACACTCTAAATCTGATTTTCTCTGTTCTGAATTTCTTCGCTGCTCTGGAGTGTCTTTCTAGCTCAGCTCAATTCAATTCAATTTAACACAGCTTAACTGGCAGAACTGTATCACATGCAATGTTACCAAAACACAGCACTATATCTGAACATACTGAGGAGGAGTAACAGCAGCAGTGATGAGCAGGAACTAGTTAAAGTTACTGAAGTAAAGTGTTAAAGGATTTATATCTTAAAATTATACGTTTACTTTTAGTCAAATATATTCATAAAAAAAACTTTCTTTCTTTTTGGGTTTAATTTCTTCCTCTTGTGTTGGTTCAGCTCCAGCTCTGCTTTACTGATTACATCTCTCACTGGAGCTTCAGCATTTTATTTTAGACAAGGAGATTAAAGCCGTACAAGCCTCAGTGTCTACACTGAGTAAAATTACAGTAAATTACTGGCTACTAGTTGCATCACTTTAGTTTGTGAAAATATTACTGGTAGTAATATTTTTAAAGCAGTTTAATAATTATCATCGTAATATTAACACCAATACCTCTCTCTCCCTCTCAGGTTGCACGCACAATCAATAACATGCAGCAGCAGATCCAGCAGCACCAGAGGCAGCTGGCGCAGGCCCTGCTGATGAAGCAGCAGCAGCAGGCGCCCCCCGCCCCGTCCCATGGCGGCCTGCACCCTGGCCTCGCCAAACCAAACCTGGATGTCTTCCCAGGAAACCCTCAGGCTCCAGGCCTGTCCATCTCCGACCTGCAGACCAAAGAGCCACAGAGTTCTCCCAGCTCCTTCAACCCGTACCCTCTGTGTAAGACGCATAACCTTATACACTCTTAAAGATGGTTCTTCAAGGGTTCTTTAGTAAGAACAGTGGTTCTTCATAGAAACATTTGCATGCTTAAATGGTTTCTTGCATGGTGAAATGGTTCTTCAGAGAACCTTTCTCTTTCAAAGAATTTTTGAAAAGGGTTCTGTGTACCACCAAAAAGGGTTTTTCTATTGTATACGAGCTTGACATCGTAACAATAGCAGGTGTTATATAGAGAAGTTTTTAGAAACAATACATTCTCCATCAACTTAAGAACCATTTCGCCATGCAAAGAACCATCTAAGCATGCAAATGGTTCCTTGAGTGTTCATGGTTCTATATAGAACCATTGTCAAAGACTTTTTAATTGATCTCTTATATAAAATACTATTGTAATTCGTTTTACTTCAATTTATTTTTTGTTCATGTTTCTGCTTTTATTTCTCAAAGCTGCTTTGTGTATGAAAAGTGGTTTATAAGTAATAATATTTATAATAATAATAATAGTTATTATTTTTATTATTAAGGCCCGCTTTATTGAACATGGATTAGTCTTGCACTAATCATTTTTGTATCTGGGCAATGCTTGATTCCAGACTCACTGACATCCTCTGTATCTCTCTCTCTCTCTCAGCTGGTTTGAATGGTAACGTGGGAGTGGGCTGTATGGATGTTGGTGGTCTGGCGCTGAAGGACACTCCGCCGCAGCCTCAGTCCCGTCTGTCACAGTGGACTCACGCTAGCAGCATGGACTCCCTTACCACCTCCACACCTCACATGGAGACCAGCCTCAGCAAGCATGGTACGTCAATCTCCACCACACAGTAACAACATAGGAACTATTACTGTGATAATTCCTAGAGTTAGACGGTAATTTAATTTTTACATTTAATTTATTTTATTTCATTGATCTTCCCAGCTCAGCGCTGCACGCATGAGCCTGGTCATTCTGTTTTTTCACCAAATTGGTACTTTAGTTTCTTCAAAGAGAAGCACATCAGTTCTGGGACCTGAGTGTAAAACGCTCATGTTAAAAAAAATCCATTTAAAAAGTGTGAAATGGATTTTTACACATTGCTCTGTTACTGATTTCAGAGCTGCTTTTCATCTCACATGCTTATTTGTGAAGCTTCTAATTTTCCAGCAGACGCTTTGTAGATCTTCCACAGAGTTTAAAAAGTTGTTTCTTCAAGGATTCCTTAGTAAATTAAATGGTTCTATATGGAACAATGAACATTTAAAGAACCCTTTGCATGAATAAAGGGTTCTTTGCATCGTGAAAGTGTTCTTCAGAAGTGTATATGGTTCTGTATAGCTTGACAACGTAACAACAGAAGAACCCTTTCTGGTGCTATACACAAGACATTTTACATCAGTCTAAAGAGCCATTTCACAATGCAAAGAACCCTTTAATCATGCAAAGGGTTCGTTGAGTGCTCATGGTTCTAAATAGAACCATTGTCTTTACTGAAGAACTCTTGAAGAACCGTCTTTTTTACAAGTGCAGGGTTTTTTTTTACTCAGTTTAGTTTAGAGTCCTGATGAGCTCTGTAGGATTTTTATTCAGTGCTGTCAGGTGTATAAATTCCACAAAACAAAAGTAGAGAAATGTGACGAATTAAAGAGCTGATTTATTGTTGTTGTTGTTTCATAAATTCCTCTGATTAAGTGTGGTCACCTGGATTTTCCCTCCTACCAATTACAATGATCTTAATAAACAATTATTACCTAGAAACATAAGTTTCTTTCTGGAAGTGATTTAAATGGTTGCAATTATTGTTTGTTTCTGTGCAGTGCTGGACCCAGACATCATGGTCAAACTCTCTCTTACCTAACATTCCTTCTTTGCTGAAGGCAGTAAATGTTTCCATTTCTGTCTCAGGTCCTGCAGTCTCCACCCATGTGGCCGACAGTAAGCCGGCGATGGAAGACTCTTTCAGCCCTTATAACCTCCTGTCCACCTCACAGTCTCCCAGCAGCCCCATGGTGGCGCCAGAGAGCTGGACACAGGGCAAGAGCCCTAACGAGAAAATGTCAAATGGGACGAACATCAGCTGGCCTCCAGGTGATTCACTTTCTGGGAAAATATTTACAGAATATTTACTGTAGTGGTGTTATTACATACTTAAGTCAGTAGTCAGTAAACACACTTACACTGTAATAGGCATGAACAGGCTTTAAGGGTAAAAGTCATCATATTAAATGTATACTTTAAAAATAAAATGATCAAAGAATTAAAACAATGAACAAGGAAAAAAAATCTAAAAATAATTGGTTAAAACAAGATATACTTAAATTTAAATGCTGATAAAACAATTTTTAAACAACAATACAAATATAAAATAGATTTGTCTGTATGTATGTCTTAGGTGCAAATTTTTAATGACTTTTTGAAACAAAAATGTTCTATTTAGAACCATGAACCCTTTTGCTTGCATTGTGAAGTTGTTCTTCAGAATGATGGAGAATGTGCTATAGATGGTTCTATATACAACCTTGAAAATGCTAAAAGCTGCCAGTTTTGATATCTGAAAACATGTCCATTAGAGGCGGAGTTAAGATGTTATGGCAGGGGATGTCCATACTTTTGTGGCTTGAGATCTACTTTTTCCAGTGGACAGGTCATTGTGATCTAACTTAAAAAAACCACAAAAAAAAAAGCTGGACTCATCCTTTTTTAAAAGCTTTGAACCTTTTAATGCACTTTATTGGCCTATATTGATGTTAAGCGTTGCAGGGCAAACGACTGAATATCACACTAACCTAATTGTCAGCCAGGATTGTGTTACATTAGTCTGGACTAGGGGTGCAGGGAAAAAAACGATTCTTAGATGCATCGCGATTCGGACGTGGACGATTCTGAATCGATTCACAAATGTCAAAAATCGATTTTCGAAATATTTTATTTATAATGTAATGTTGACGGAACGCAAAGGGCGGAACTTGGAAGTGGGGAAGTGCGGCGCCCGGACAGTCTGTGGCGGCACATTACAAAAACACCACTGGACGAGCAAGAAATCTGACCGGCTCCCTCTGCATTAAAAGCCAGGTTAGGTCAGGACTCTCAACCCAAATGTTAAGAAGAGACATTTTGACCTTTCAACAAAAATCAGACCACCTTGGGAGCCACAACATTTAATGTCCAGTATGTCTCAGTATGTGATAATGTCCTAGTATAGATTAAACAATATAAACGAAAACGCAGATTTACTTCGCTCTGCTTTAAGCTTTAGCTGAGCTATAGCCGCTTTCCTCCCATCTCCGCCAAAAAACTTTTCCTCAAAAGTTGAATAGTTTCGGCTGTTTTACGAGGCTGAATTCGCTTCTCATTCGCCAGCTTCTTGCTGAACTTTTCCCGTTCCACCTTAAATTCTGACTGAGGCGCCGAAGGTAAATGCGGCACCATTTAAGGTGGAACGGGGAAATTAGAAAGAGAAGCGACTTCATCTTCGCAACTTTTTAGTCTCTCGTTGCAGATTTAACATATCTGGAAACCAACTACGTTGCTTATAAATGCGAATAAGTCCATTCGTCTCCCAGTGTTCGTCTGTCTTTCTCTTTACCTTTCTCGTTCGCTACTAACCTCGTTGCTAGGTGACCTGCAGTCTGCACGCCAATTCTCAGTCGTTGAGAAACAGGGCTTTCGCGCTATGTTGCTCACGCCCCGTCTCAAAGATATTTTACTGACACGGCGACCCCCCCCACTCACGAGACCAAAACCAAAGTTATAAAATCACTAAAGAAAATGGGCAGGACGGCTATAATGTGCTGCGTGGTCATCCATTACCACTGGATCTAATTTCACCGTAACAGCGCATTTTATCACAGATGAGTGGCAGCAGCGTCTCCAAACAAGAGCAGTGAATGAGAGCCTTCTAGTTCACTGGCCACATCAGTTCCATTTGTTTCATTAATAAAAGATATTGGACGTAAATGCATTATAGATCATTACAAATACTTAGCTATAAGAGTGCCAAGTCCTCAGACAGTAAGAAAATAGAAATCATGTATAGAAAAAAAATCGTTTTATAATTGCATCGCAGCCCTCTGAATCGTAATCCAATCGAATCGTGAGGTGCCTAGAGATTCCCACCCCTAGTCTGGACCAATATTTTTCTTCCTGAGTTCACTTTTAGCTGGCAATTTGTTGTTGTAATTTCTTAGTATGGTTCAAAAATGCAGTAAATTAAAGAGACAGTGGCTGCATTTTGTGTCAGTCATACTGACCTGCCTGCCGCCAAAACTGTAAGAAAGTGTTGAAATGATACAGGTGATAGCCTGTTTGAATGAGGCATGATCCACCAACGTGTGCTGTGCGATCGTCTGGTTGATCTTGATCAACGTATTGGGCACCCCTGTGTCATGGGCTAAAACTATTCTAAAATCATTTATTTATTTATTTATTTGGGTTATATTATATCTCAACACTTTCTGTGGTTATTCTTCAGAGTTTTGTCCAGGAGTTCCTTGGAAAGGCCTGCAGAACATCGATCCCGAGGCTGACCCCAACATGACCCCAGGAAGTGTTTCTGGAGGCCCCACCATCAACACCAACATTCAGGATGTGAACCGCTACCTGCTGCGGGACAGGAGTGGAGGTGAGAGAGACCGTAACGATTCAGCACTGCTGACAAAAACACCAAAGTCCAGCCTTCAAACCTGCTGCTGATCCTGCTGTGCTCTTCACCACTTTTACTCATTACACAGCATAAGATGTGCTTTATGTGGTTTTCCCAGTTAGACACATCTAGACACAGCTTTCTTAATATTCAGTATCTGCTAATACAGAGTTAGATTTTTCATAAATCAGTGTTTTAATTTCTTAACGAGTCAAAACCCTGACACTGACACTGCACATGTTCCACTTAAAAATAAGTTTAACTTTTACACCACTTTGTTAACTGCTAAAAAATGTGCCTCACTGCAAGCTGTGGATAATGTTTAGGTAAAATAGCCTCAACAAAGAATCAACCGTAATATAGCTGATGTTGAAGCATTAAAATATGACACTGGTCTTTCAGATCAGGATATTCCAGACTAACTCTTATTTTACATGCTTTAATCATTCACTATTTTTTTTCCCCACTATCATGCTGTGGCATACGCCCTCCCCCCGGGCCCCGACGATGAAGGCCTTCCTGCCGGCTCTCGCGGCCGTCATCGTCGGGGCCTGGGGGGCGGGTGTATGCCACACATGCATTACTCATCCTTTTGTTCTTAACATAGTTTAAACTTTATTTTTGTACCACATAATCATAGTATTAGCTGTGATCATTACTTCTTGTTTGGATTTTCTTGCATTATTTTGCTCCTCCTGGATGTAAACGCTCCACAGCCTGGTCCCCCACTGTGTCTCAGAATGGGGGGCAGATGTCCATAAGTGAGTGGCCTGGGGCCGCCTGCTCTGGCTCTTTCAGCCTGCCGGTAAACGATCAGGAAGAGGAGGGGAGCACAGGTACTGCCCCAGCTCACCTGCCCCAGCTTATCTGCCCCAGCCCGTCTGCTCCAGCCCACCTGCCCCTCACCTGGCTGTCCCTTCCCCTCAAACCCACACCAACTGAAAGCATCTTACAGCTGCAGGAATCCACTTTAAAAGGGACCTATTATGCTCATAATTGTATATTTGGGGTCTAGAATAGATTTACAGCTTTACTGTTCCAAAAACACATTATTTTCCTCATACTGCATATCTCTATTCACTCTCTGTCTGTAACGCTCTGTTCGATCTTCTGTGTCTTTAAGCCCTGCCTCCTGGTGAGCCCAGTGTGCTCTGACTGGTCAGAAAGCGGTAGCAGCATCCTGCTACAAGTTCTGACTCTACAAGCACCCAATAAGAACTGTGATACAAGATTGCGTCATCTTATAACAAAGGAATAGGGCTGGAATTCCACCGAGGCGTTTCAGGCAGCAGAGTAAAGTGGTTTCTGTGGGAGAGAGTTTCTCCCTCTGGAGTCAACTTTGAGCTTTGTGACTTTGCAGACAGTTTAAATGCACAAAAAGATACCTAACACACTAAAGGAAAGAGAAAAACTGGAAAAGCATACTAGGTCCCCTTTAACTTGAACTAAAATAAGTTAAAGCAGTAGTTCTGTGAAAAGTCAAGTTGACCAATTTCCCCCGTATGTCCAAATGTGCTTGATTAGCCGAGATGGTAAATAGTAGTGGCAGCTATTAAAGTACTAAAAGCTTTTCCTCTGTGCTTTTGCCAGTGTTTGTACTTAATAGTATGCTGCAGTGTCAGAAAACAAATCGCTGCTGTTGGAACTGAACCTCTTATCCCCAAAATGATAACTTTACAGGAGAAAAAAAAACCTACTTTACTTTCAATGTAAGTCAATGGAACCAGACATTTTTCCAAGTCATTTTGGGCCATTTCTTTTGCTTCATTTATCATGAAATTTACAGTTATTATAAAGAACAATAGGCATTTTCTAATTATGAAAAGAAACTTAAAACAAGTTGTTCCAACAGCAGGGAAATAAGTCTATTAGAGATTACTTAAAAACTCCACATGGTTGGTGATGATTTTAGGTGTGCAGTTTAACGCCATGCTTCAGACACTAAGCTAATCGACTACACTTCGACAAAGGGGAAAATTGTGATTTTGGTAGATTTTTCTCCAAATTATTGCTGTAGTTTGGCTGGGTGTTGCGTTAGTGGTTTGGAGCTTTTCTTATGACTGACTTTGTGTGAAACCACCTAAAAACGGCGCTTTCCTGCAGTTTTTATTGCAATATATGTATTATGTACTGTGCAGTACAGATTGTGTCTGTGCCCCGAAAAACCTCCTATTCGCTTCCAGATTTGTTCCTCCTCCCCCAGTTTGGTTTGTTTTTATCAGCGTTCTGAGAATCTTGCTCTTCTGATTAGTTAGTTAAACTCTTAAAAGATGGTTTGTTAGGAAAGATAGTGGTTCTGTGTAGAACCGTGAACACTCAAAGAACCATTTGCATGCTTTATTGGTTCTTTGCATGGTGATATTGTTCCTCAAATTGATGGAGAATGTGTTATACATAGTTTTATGTAGAACCTTTTTGAAATGGGTTTTATATAGTACCTAAAAGTGTTCTTCTACTGTATACAAGCTTGACATCGTAACAATAGCGGTACCATTTGGTGCTATATAGAACCATTTTCAAAAGCAACACAATCTCCATCAATCTGAAGAGCCATTTTACCATGCAGAGAACCATTTAAGCATGCAAATGGTTCTTTGGGTGTTCATGGTTCTATATAGAACCATTGTCTTTACTAGAGTGCAAGTTAGATGGGTTATTAGTTAGACACAATGTTAATGAGCTCTTCTTTTTTAGTGTCTTAAAGTCTGATTCTGAATCTTTTCTGTCCTTCTGTCTCGTCCAGGTAAGCTTTTGGACATGAAGTCCACCTGGTCGGCAGGTCCTATTTCACACACGCAGGCCTCGATGTCCCATGACCTTTGGAAGGTTGCTCCAGGAGGTCGGACCTCCACGGCCCCGTCTCGCCCCCCTCCGGGCCTCACCAATACCAAGCCCTCTCAGAGCTGGACATCTGGGTCACTGGGTCTCAGCCAGGGCTGGAGCAGCTCCTACTCCTCAGGTTCCTCCTCTACTCTCTTTTCTAGGCTCATCTCTTCTCTGTTCTTTCTTTTGAAACATCATTTTATTTGGACACTCATCCGCAAAGTCAGTAAAACAAAACTGACATCTTTAAAATGCAACGTTTAAACACACTTTAGTTTCTCCCTGTTGTAACTGCATGACTTGCATATTGATGAATAACTACAGAATAATTCAGAGTATGTATTGAAAAATATACAGTAGATACTTGCCCTGATACTTAATGCATATTAGTTACTCGACTGTTCGACTTTACTGCTCAGCTCATGCTGTTATGACACTAACAACATGGATGCCTCAGAGAAGACAGCAGGTGAGGAGCCTGATGATATCAGGGTATGTATCTCTGGATTCCTGAAGGCCAGCAATGCGATCCAGAGCTCTACTGACCTGTGGGGTTTGGCTTCTCCGCCGATCTACAGAGCTTCAAAGATCAGATACTTCCCGAAGACCACAACAAAAAAGTCACATGTGGTTGAAGAGGGGGCGTAACGCCCTATGATCCTGTAAAGTCAGTTACTCTTATTTTCGACCAAGTTACGGTGTCCTAAATTTCTCACTTCAGACCTCTGCCATGGGCGAGCATCTTGGTAAAGCTGCCTAGGGTTCATCTATGTCTGATACAAATTTGCGAGATTCCATTGTCTGTATCTCCGGTTCCCTGAAGGTTAACAATGAGGTCCAGGGCTTGCTGGAAAGGGCACATTACGCTTTACTGACCAGCGGAGTTGGGATTCTTTTTCTTTCAAATTTTCTCCCCAATTTTGTCATATCGAATTCCACCCACTAGTTAGAACTCCGCCAGTCACGTGATACCACCAGCTCTAGGAGGGCGAAGGCAAACTCAGGCTACCTCCGAGACCTGTGAAACTCCACTGCATCTTTTCGAACTGCCGCTCACGCGACGTCATTGGGCAGCTGAACGCGCTCGGAGGAGAACACTAACTGCCAGATCTGTTACGTCAGCTGACAGACGTCTGCACTGTCTAGCATCGTGCTGGGTGATGGGGGGGGGAGACGGGGGCCATCATACCCACCCAGAAAGAGTGAGGAGAACAGTGCTCTCTTGGACTCCCGGCCACGGACAGCTGTAGCATCACCAGGGATCCAACTTGCAATCTCCTGATGAGAGGGCCGACGCCACCCGGGAGCCCCAGAATGTGGATTTTTAAAGTCAGATTTTTAAATTCGCGTGTTGCAAAGCAATCCTTCTCCTGTGGTTTTATTCATGACATCATCAGCAATTGGTTGATGTTGACTCGACTTTCATTACATAACTGTCAACTTAAAAAAATCTGAAGTTGTGCAGCTTCTAGTAGATACTGAATAATGCATAGTAGATTCTTCTACTGTGGCTGTAGTTGTAACTTCTTTCTCCCCCTTTCTCAATCTCAGAGGGAACTGCCTGGAGCTCAGACAGCTCCACCAGGACCAGCAGCTGGCTTGTTTTGCGGAACTTGACTCCTCAGGTACGTGCACTCTGCTGATCACAAAGCATTTTCAGTTCAGATCATAATTAGATTGAGAAATTATCGGAGGTGCAGTTGCCCATGATGTGCCTCTAAAAAATATGTGTGTGTGTTGCAGATTGACGGTTCCACTCTGAGGACGCTGTGCATGCAGCACGGTCCTCTCATCACGTTCCACCTCAGCCTGCCGCAGGGTAACGCGCTGGTGCGCTACAGCTCCAAAGAGGAGGCAGCCAAGGCCCAGAAGTCCCTGCACATGTGAGCTGCTCTTTAGTGGACATTTGCTAATTTACACAGATGCTTCTTTTGCAGTTTACACTCTAGACCCTGCACTTCACCCACAGGTCCAGAGTTTAGTTTCAGCCTGTCTTCTGTAGAGTTTATTTTACTTATTGTATACATCTGGCTTTGTTTATTCTGTTCCTCAGCTCTGAAAATATACTGTTTAAAAGTAAACTCTGTCGAAGGATACATCTCCAGTGGCTGGGTTGGACCCCCTTGGTCAACGCTGTGCTGTCCAGTGTAAAAACATGACTCAGCTGGGCACTCTAAGCCCTGGTGATTGTAGTTGTAAAGCTGTTGTCATTATCATTTTGTGCTGTAACCACATGTGAGGGGTTAGATTACTCTAAGTAACTCAGTGAAAAGGCTATGAGTAATTTTAAGGTCACAGTGAGTTGGTTATCAACAAGTTCATGTGGTCATTCTGACAGATTGTATTTCTCCACACTCTTAAAGATAGTTCTTCAAAGGTTCTTTAGTAAAGGGAATGGTTCTAATTAGAAGCATGAGTTCTATATAGAACACTTTGCACGCTTAAATTGTTCTCCACATGGTGAAATTGTTCTTCAGATTGATAGAGAATGTGCAGTTCGTGTTGTGTTGTTTTGTCAAACTTGTAACAATGGCAGAATCCTTTTTGCTGCTATATAGAACCATATACAACACATTCTCCATCAATGTAAAGAGGGATTTCACCATGCAAAGAACCATTTAAGCATACAGAGAGTTCTATATAGAGCCCATGGTTCTAAACTTTGGTTCCGACTTTGGCTTCCAGTGATTATGAAAACAACATGATAGAAAACACAACGCGGCACAATAATCGTAATAAACGTATTTGAACAGCCCTACAATTCAATTCTGAGTTTCTTGTGAGTGTAATTTTATCTAAAAGACTCTCTCTCCTGTCCAGGTGTGTTCTGGGTAACACCACCATCCTGGCAGAGTTCGCTGGAGAGGAGGAAGTGACCCGTTTCTTCGCCCAGGGTCAGGCCCACCCACCCAACAGCAGCTGGCAAGGCAGCGCCGCCCCTGGGTCCAACCAGCAGCGCATGGGAAACCACTGGGGCAGCGCAGGCTCAGCGGGCACCAAGACGGGCACCAGCTCGGGCAGCGGAGGTAGTGGAAATGGGGGAGACCTGCTGTGGGGCGGCGTTCAACAATACTCCAGTTTATGGGGTCCTGCTAACGGCGAGGAGACCAGGGTTATGGGGAGCCCGATCCCAATCAATACACTGCTGCCTGGAGACCTGCTGAGCGGAGAGAACATGTAAGAGCTGATGGTCCAGCGCCAAAAACGAGAAACAGGAAAAAGGATTTAAAAAACAAACAAAATAAAAACAAAACAGTAGACAATGGGAAAAAAAACAAACAAAAAAAAGACAAACAAATAAGCAAATCAGTGTGATGATAATCACTTTCTTTCTACAGAGCTGAAAAAAAAGGTTTCGGGGTAAGACTGGAACGCTTACCTCTACCTCTGCTGATCAGTTTATCAGTGCATCTTTTGGAAACTGGAGATGTTCAGAGCGTCAAAGCATCTTTTATTGTTTGTAGACTTTCAAAAAAGCAAGAATCAACAGAAACGGAAGCCTTTGTTGTTTTTATAGTTTGTTTTACTTTTCCCAAAAAAAGTTCTTTTTTTTTGGTTCAGGAGAAGCAGAGGAAAGGCAGCCATTTTTAAAACCAAGCCCAGAAACAGAAAAACCTCACGGCCCTGCAGCCTTCCTGACCGAGACGCTGGGGAAAAGCTCCTGCTACCTTCTTACGCATTTCAACGTTCAGTGTGTGGTTTCTTCAGAACTTATCTTAGCCTTAAGTGCTCGCGCTCTTTTCTCTCTCGCTCTCTCTGTCTAGGTCATTCTTGAGCATTATTATTATTATTATTTTAGTTACAAAAGCCAACTAAAGAAATTTAACTTGCACACTTCTGTTTCTGAGCCAGCGATTGGACCAGAGCAAGCGAGTAAAAAAAAAACAAAAAAAAACGTCACCTAGCAGTACATGGCCTGTCTGCTAGACCAATCAGCCGTGAGCTTATGCATTTTCTTCAGTAGTTACAGTTAAGGGAGGTACACTGACTCTTGTTTTACGTCGTCTATGATCCAGGCTGTCTGTCTGTGTGTGTTTAATGTTGAAAAATAAGCTGAACATTGTGCGTATGAGTGTTATGCCTACAAGAACTTGACCAAGCATCTGTTTGTGAACTCACAAGCCACTGTCTAAAAGACCCTCGATGGAAATATTTCCATACCAACTGGATTTCAATGCTGAATCAATCAGAACTTACTCATTTTAATCCTATCTTTACATATTTCTGGAGAAAGATAAAGACGAAAAGACAAAAAAAAAAGTGATGCATCGTGCAATATAAGCATCTGCCGCTATCTTCCATCCACACTGAAGCAAACCGAAGCTCTTTTTTTCCAGATTTTTTTTTTTTTTTTAAACTGAACTGTATTAGTCGCGTTGGAGACTTTTCAAGCTACAAAGACGTTACTTATGGACTTCTTCACCTACCTGGTCTCAGAGGCTGTGTTCTCGGACTGACTCGCTTTGAGGTTCTGGTTCCAGATGCGAGGGGAACACACAGAGATTCGGGATTCAGGCACAACACCAAAATAAAAGGGTTTCTCCTCTTTTAATGCAGTAAAAAAGGGATCCTTGCGTCTGGTACAAAAAAAAAACTTTTTCTAATATTTCAAGGGGGATTAATATAGCACTTATGAACAGATTGATGCTCCACTTGCAATGCCAATTAACCAGACTATGGAGCAAAAAAAAAAGACTCTTGATGGCAACTTAGCTCTTTTACATACCTTAGTGGTATTTAAAATTAAATAAAGCTCCTTTTGTTTGCTGTCCCTCATCAGTCCTGGAGGGACATGAATGGACTCTAAAACCCGTGTGGTCAGACTGAAGGGGAACATAAGACTGAATCTACAATCAGACGAAACCTGCAGTATATGTTTGTTTTTACATTCTGTTTTTTGGACTATATCAGAGTGAATGTCACTGTTACTCCAAACTTGTTTATGGCCTTTTTTCCACCGTGTCTGTAAGAGACACCAGACATGGATTGTTTTCTGGATGGGGGGGCGACTGAGGAGGTGAAGCAAGCAGCTCCTTCCTGATGTGAAGAGAGCTGCCGAACCTCATGGGAGGAAATGCTCGCTATCACTCGTTCCTCTCCTCCCAATCTCGGAATGTCTATCTTCTGTCGCTGTGCTCCCAGCCACTCAGTCAAAGCCAAAACGGACTGGTGATGACGCCTCATCTCTCGAACTCATCGCTGCCCTCTCCCTCTCCTCCCTCTCCGATAAATGCACCTTTAGCAAGAAGCTGAGACAGTCTGACCTCTGGAATCGCCAGTGTTGGTGTGATTTTTCTTTCCCTTTTTCCATGTACTGTACGATTCTGTTGGTCTTCATGCAGTGGGTTTTCACTGGCACCAAAAGCCCTTCAGTGTTGATATGCAGAAACACTTTAAAGTGGTGCCGCTGTAGGCCTGTCCTGTGTAACCAATGCAATTGAGGAACGTTGCTTATATAGGCCATATTTGGTTGTTTTCATATGTTTATGTGAAATGTTTATCATTTTTATGTGTGTGAACAGTGTTTCCTAAGATTCCCCAAACTATCTCACAACATGTAGAACATGCACTGGAAAAAATGGCGTCTTGGCAAGTGAAATCGTCTTAAATGTAGTCAGTATACATGATACTTCTTACTGTGAGCGTTTTACAAATGTTCCAAAATTATTCAACTCATTTTTAGATGATTTAACGTACTTTAAGACATTTTATCAAGAGAAATGATCAGTATTTTTAAGGATGGGAGTTTCTGTCAACCGAAAAACAAAACAACAAAGAGACAAAAACATGAAGTTACGACTCCAGAGTCAGTAACACCACTCAGCATCTCTATTACTCGTCTGTATTAAATCCAAAACACTACACCGTAAGAGTTAACACTGCTTGAAATTTACTCAGAGAAAGGCAGCTAATCTGACGTCTTTTAAAATAAACAGAATTTGAACTGGCTGTTACTTTTGTCTTGAAAACTGCGTTTTTGAAAAGGTAGTTAGTTGATGCCGAAAGTGATAAATTCACTAAATGACATTGCAAGTTTTATTCAGTTAAATCTATACTAGAGTGTACAATGAATGGAGGGTTTTTTTTTTGTTTGTTTTTGTTTTTTTTTTTTAGTTGCTGCCTTTTTAGCCACTACGCAGCACCAGAGACCTTCTACAGGGGGCAGCACAGAGCTTCTCATCTGGTGTGCGGTAGCCTTTAGCCAGCTGCAGTGGTCTTTCTGTGCTTTCCAGGACTAAACAAAGTAGAACCTCTGACCAAAACTTGACACAGGCTCTGCAACATGCTCTGGTGGACTATAGAGTTTACACATCTCATGTTTCTTCAATAAGAGAACACAATGTTAGAGAGAAAAAATTGCTACGAAACTAATTTACTGTTTGACTAGTTTCATAAAAATTCTGACTGATCCCTAATAGCTTTATAAATAACCTAACAAAGAAATTTACAAATAACATAATTTTGGTCATTTTAATAAATAATGAAGAAAAAACGTTGTGTAGTAACATCATTCCACTTAAAGTAAAACATATAGAAATGGGTTGAATAATATTGTGTTATGTGTATATATATATATATATATATATATATAAATATATATATATATATATATATATATATATATATATTTCATATATCACATATTCCCCACATTTAAGAAATTGAATTTGCCGAGATATCATTTTCTTGCAGTGCAAACTCCTTAATTTGCGTGTTTTGCGTGACCCCGTCTCTTACGCAGCTGCTAGGATCCTCTTTTTGTTTTCCCTCCCTCTTTGCAGCCTCCGTGCCGTCCGCCTGTTAGCCAGAGAGCTCCCTGTTCCGTTAGCAAGAGCGCCCCCTTCCTGTTAATAAGAGAGCAGCTCTTACTTGAAACGCCCGCTCTGAGGGGGACGGGTCCTTTTAGCTGCTGGCTCACTTTCCAACCAGCACATTGTTAACGTTACTATGCAAAGTAAGAAAATAACGGACACATCGATGAGGTGGTCGGTGGCCCTTTACAACGTTAGTGCCAATTGTGACTCCAGAGGTTGGGCTCCACCCCCAAAACCCTCAGGCCTCCAGCATATATCTATATATACGCATGAATATTTGCTCTCTGGATGATCATACAGGTCGTATCCTGAAGTAGTCTTTGGGGGACTGTGTCGTTTCAGCACTCTTTCAGGGCGTAAACTAAATTTACATTTATGGAAAGATACTGGTTTTGAGCAGATTCTTATCTATTAGTGCATTTATTGCTTAGGGTGTCTCAAATGCTAGAAAATATGGCACAGAAGCTACGAGTAGGACAGACTTCTCTGACTCCCCCAGCAGGGGGCGCAGTTAGGTCGTCGCACCTACAGCTTCTGCTGATTTACAGAGCCTATTTTACAGTGGGACCTTCTTAACCACATGCTGCTGATTGCGTATAATCCTCTCTACGGTCTCGTGTGCCAATATAGCGGGAGGCGTAGCGGTGTGTATCGGCTGAGTTGTTGCATTTCCTTTTCTTCTTGTTACATGAACGACTACCAGTATGGAGGCACACTGACGTTTCCTGTGCGTTTGAGGTGGGATGGGTCTCAAAGAGGCTGGCGAAATGCACCTGATTACTAAAACACCTCATTTGCATCACTGAGATAATCCTTTTGCTGTCCTATTACAGAGCGAGATGTTTGGGAATTCGCTAATGGTGCACAGGTCGTGGCTAATCCCTGGTACTTTTTTTGAATACCAAAAAAAATGAAATCACATTTTAAAATCTTTTTATATATATAAATATATATAAAAGTTGGACGGAAAAGATCCTTAAATGTAAATGATGTTGGGGGAAAAAAAAACAATGTCTAAAACTGCACTTCTTGCTAATTTTCTCCTGTTTTGCAGACGTGTTCTGTCCCTCGTTCTAAATGTCGACTGCATGCAGGAGTGCCTTTTTCTGTATGCTGTTTTAAGTGTTTGTGTTTGTTAATCTGGGCCCATCCAACTGTGCATTTCCATTCGCCCTGATCGAGAAGGGCCCTGCCCGTTCTCTCTCCGCTTTGAGGGAAGTCGTTTCAACAGGTACAATGCTGTCTTAAGCTGACGAAGGCCGCTGGACTCCAGTCTGACGTCGCAAAAGCAAACTCACTGTTGCCTGGGTGTGAAACTGCCTTTCTCCAAACTCAGTCAGAAACTACAAACACATCTAGCCTGTCCGAACCCCAGGAAGCATTCTGATGACACCAGCATAGATAACGCTACGATACTAGCTTCACTTCACTCATTACTGTAGACCAAATTACTTTCATTTTATTAGTCCTCCAAATTTCTCTCCCTTGTAAGACCAACTGGGCAGAACACAAGTTTAAATGAGCAATATTTGCATTTGACCCTGCAAAATAAAACAGGAAAAGTACTGATACTTGATAATTCACAGAAAAAAATGTCTGGGATTTGCACGCGTAAAGTATTTTTACGTAATTCCTTTCTTTTTTTTTTTTTAAATTGTAAAAGCTCATCAGTTTTTTTTCCATCTCCAGACAAATAAAACCATAAACATATCAAAACAAAACAAGTTACTACACCAATACTTGAATCAAAGATCGCCAATAACGTAATGTGAACTTGTTTTTTTGTTTTGGTGTAGCTCGTACACTTTTCAAGGTGTTCTGAAACTTAGCATTAATCACAAAGATGATGTCATGACTTTTTATTTTATTTAGGTGTACAGACTGCGTTCCTGGTTTTGCACCTGCACTTGTGTTCCATTCAGTATGTTGTACTGTTTTTTTGTTTTAAAGCTTGTTCAAAAACAATGTTCTGATGATTAT